ATAAGAGAGTATGATTAAGAAAATAGAGTCGATGTATTACAGAGCTATAGGCCCATGCTATTAGCCAACTCCGTGCCATTCTCTAAAAATTACACAATTTAAACTGGATGGTGCCAATGCCTGCTCCGGCTAGAAACAACGACCCTTTTCTACTCCATAATATGCTCAATTACCTTTAGATTGATCCGTGAATAAATTATAATCCAAATAGACTTTACCTCAAAGCTTTGCTGGCTTAAGGAATCATTGTTGATTCACAATATTGTCACCTTTCTATCGGCGATGTAATGCTGTTTATATCTGGAGAGAGACAGTTTTAGTGTGAGATACTATTATCTTTCAATGAGTAGGATTTAGCTTTTCTGGTGAGAACAAATTCATCAATGAGGAATCCCTGGAGAAACTATGGAAACAAAAATCATACCCTTTTTGAGCTTTGTTCCGTTCATCAGTTACAAAGCAGCTTTTGATGGTCCTAAAGAACTTTTTCCCTTTGTTTAAGAAATCTAGCCTGACGCTCAAAACCTCTAGCTTTGAGTTACCGCAGGCTACAGCTTTTCTGTAGGAAAATAATGAATGAAGGGAAAAGCTCCTGCTGCCTCATCCAGGCCCTGCTGCTTCTCCTCCTGCAGTGGGAATCAATTAACTCTCTGTCCAGACAGCGATTTGAACCAAACGCTTTCCTAATCATCGCTGATTGCATACCTTCACCCTGGCAGCTACGTGTTCATCTTCACTTTCTCCTATCTGTGTTCTCCTTTGCTTTTCTGTTTGTCTTGTCACAATCAGAACACAAACATATGCCTGAGTGTGGCGTGGAGGAAACAGGGAGTTCATCTTTTGTAGTGCCGGAAAATTTAACTTTTAAAACAGCGGCCTGAGGAGATAACTCAATGGGTAAAATGTTAGCTATGCAAGCACAAGGACCAGAGTTCAAGTCCCAGCACCTACATGTAAAAAGCTCCGCATGGTAGTGAGTGCTTGTAATCCCAGCATTAGGGAGGCAGAGACAGACAAAGTACATGTGCTGGATAGCTTTAGTGTCAACCTGACTCACCTGGGTTGAGGGAGCCTCAATTGGGGAATTATCTTCATTGGACTGGCCCATGGCCAAGTCCATGGCGCATCTTCCTGATTGTTGAGTGATGTGGGAGGGCCCAGCCCACTGTGGGTGGTGCCACCCCTGGGAAGTCGGGGGTGGGGGCTGTGTCTCACAAGAAAGCAGGCTGAAGGCTGGGCGTGGTGGAGCACACCTTTCATCCCAGCACTTGGGAGGCAGAGGCAGGCAGATGTCTGTGAATTCAAGGCCAGCCTGGTCTATATAATGAGTTCCAGGACAGCCTGGGCTACAGGGAAACCCTGTCTAAAAAAAACCAAAAAAAGAAAAAGCGGGGAGGGGGGTATGTCCCATGAGAATGTTGCATAAGAAAGCAGGCTGAGCAGGGGCCAGGGGAGCAAGCCAGTAAGCAGCATTCCTCCATGGCCTCTGCTTCAGTTCCTACCTCCAGGTTCCTGTCCTTAGTTCCTACCTTGGGATGCCTGATGAACTGTGACCTAGGAAACGTAAGCTGAATAAACCCTTTCCTCCCCATGTTGGTATTGGTCAGAGTATTCTGTCACAGCAATGGAGAAACAAACTAGGACAGTCCCAGAGGCTCATTGGACAGCCAGCTAGCTTAATAAGTGAGCTCTAGATACCAGTGAGAGAAACCCAGGTGAGTGGCTTTCAAGGAATGATACCAGAAGTTGATCTCTGGCCTCGGCATACACACATGCATGTATGCACTTACACTCACATGCATGCACATACACATACACATAAACACACAACATTCAGTATTTCTAAATCTTAGAACTACTTTAATAAGCATAATTTGTGTATGTGATGTGCATGCGTGTGTGGGCGTGCACATGTTGAATGTGCATGTGTATGCACTGCAAATGGAAGTGTGAGGTTGACTTCCTTGCTCACTCTCCATATTACTTATTGAGAAGGCTCTCTCCGTTGAACCCAGAGGTCACTGATTCAGGTAGCTAACAGGTTCTCCAGAGAGCCCCTGTCTCTGCCTCCAGCATGCCAGGATTATAGGTAGACCACCATGCTGGGAATACAAACTCTGGTCCTGACGCACTCTACCCACTGAGCCATCTACCCAGCCTCGCAAGAAATCTTTGTAAATGTTTAATTTTTGATGCTAATGGGTGAAGCAAAGTGCCTATGGCTGACTTGAAGTTTTGGAAGCTATTCCTTAGCCTCTGGACTCTCCACATGGCAATGAGAAATTACAAATAAGCCAAATTTGATTTGAGGGTTGAGGGAACAGTCATTGATATGTTGTGCACGTGTGCTTTCAGCTTAAAGAAAAATTGAACAACAGCCTCTCTTATTTCATGAGTCTTTTTCTAACCAATGAACAAATAAAATCCTGTAAGAATTTTTATGTGAAATTGAAAGCATCTTCTTAGTACTAATTATGAAAGATTGGTGCATTAGAATTGTGGCACTGCTGGCAGTGGGAAAAAATGTGTGGCTCAATTTATATGTGGCAAATGTTCCCAACTACTGAAAAAATTACAGAGGATGTTAGGCCTTTGGATGCTCTTTTCCATTTGGAATCAAAGATTTTCAAATATTTATTAGTACCCTCATCATTATTATTATGGTTACAGCAGTACAGAATTATGATTTAACTATATTCCATCTCTCCATTTGCATAAATAATAAACGTTTTAAGATTTTTTTTAAGTTTTATTTGTACGTGTCCCTCTGTGTGTGGTGTGTGTGTATGTGCGGGTTCTCAAAGATTCTAGAAGAGGGCATTGGGTCCTTTGAACCTGGCGTTTACGAACAGATGTGAGCTGCCCAATGTTGGTGCTAGGCACCAACTCAGATGCCTGCAAGAGCAGCAAGCACTTTTAACCTCTGACTAATCTCTCCAGCCCCTGGATAAAGAAAGATCTAAATAGAAGGTAGGCTCTTCTGATCTGTTTAAAGATCTGTTTAAATCAAAGAGTTCCAAGAATTTTTTTTTTTTTACTTTTGAGCAGCCTTTTCAAAATTCAAGTGGAATTAAACAGTGTTGAGAAAGTCAGGATCGATTCAGAAATGAGGATAATGCTAACTAACAGGATCAGTTAGCATGGGTGTCTGCCAGAGCCAGAGGCCATGTGGTTAAACACTAGACCATTCTTGATGATCTGTATCAATATAAGACTCAGATTTAGGGGCCCTTTATGTATAAAAGAAGTATATACAGAGAGAGACATTCTGGCAAGATTTATATCATGTGATATGTGTTTGTCACAGTATGAGGTATCATCTATTCCCAGAGGAACGGGACCCTCAAGTCTAATCCCTAGTACCTCATTTGCCCCAAGAATCCAAACAAGCAACAGGACATTGCAAGCAATCATTATTTTTTAGTATTAAAATGATTTTCATAGAGGATAACTATTGGGAACTCCTTTTAGATTATTTTATGCTTTTGATAAGCCAGCATCACTTATGATAAAAGAGGTAGAAAATATTCTCCTCTCCATCACATGTCACATCACGTCATGTTACTATAACCATTAAATATTATAATTTGGAAAAGTACTAAAATATAGAGATGAAGCACATAATTCTAATCCAACTGAGTATAAATTAATTTGGCATTGACTTCCATTTTCCATTTACTTGACTTCTTGACATAATTATAGTGAATATAAATCAAAGTAACAGGCTTAGGTATATTTCCTCATAAATACATTCTTCACTGATGTGAGTGTACAAGTGCTGTCCGCAGTCTGGTCTGCCTAGTTTGGCTCGCTGATGCATCTACCTCCCTGCAATCTAGAGATCTCATGCCCCTGGGGCCTTATGCAAACTGGCAAGTGCAGGCCTATGCCTTGAAACAAGTGTGATTTTTCACTGAGTACCTGATAGGTCAGAGATCAGGATAACCTTCGAGCACTGTAGTTTTCCACACTTCCATCAGCTAGATAAATGGACTTTATTCTGCAGGATGGAGAGGGTGTTTTTGCAGTCTTATAAAAGAGACATAACAATTCCAGGTTATAGGCTGGCACAAAACATTTGGAATTCAGTAGTGTCTGTCATCAGTGGGATATGCCAGTAAAAGTGAAGATCAAAGGTTCTTGAAGAGGAGAAGGACAAAGTGAAGAGGAAATAATTGAGGGCTAATGAATGGTGAGGGCATTTTTGTGTTAACTTGAAACCACTTAGCATTTTTCCATGGCACCCAGGTATCTTCCTAAATGAACTTAGTAAAGTAAAATCGAATAACCTTGAGATTTAAGGCTGTGATGTGATTCTGAATACTGATAGAGTTTGTTAGGCACTGCAATATACCCTCTGCCTTTCATTTCTATTTTTTGCCTCCTTCGTGTAAAATACAGTTTATTTTCTGTACAGAGGAATCAATGTTTTTACCACTTTGATTTCCAACTATTCCAGTAAGTTGCAATCAACATTAGTTACAATCTTTAAAGAGACGTAGTAAGAATTTGAACACAATAAAATGGAAAAACGGATGAGAACTTTGGCAAAATACCTTTGCTATTGACAGAAGCATTTGTCAGAGGCTATAGCTGTGTCTATATTGTGCTAAAATCCTGATAAAGGGGAAAATAAAGCATCAGTAGGTTTCACCTTCTGTCTATATAAACTAAACAAATGGTCTAATAGCTATTGTTCTAAGTGAGTAGATTTGGTTTGCTATGGCAAAATCCATTCCATTTAGAAATGAATTTTAACTAACATCTACACCTAACACATACATAGTTGGCTCTTTTCTTTTCAATTCCAGATAGAATTTGATACCTAGAAGACTAGTGGCTCTGGAAGAAATAAAACCCTCTTTAACAGGGGACATGAAATAGTTCCCAAATACTCGTTTGTTTGTTTGTTTGTTTGTTGATATTTGTGTGTAGAATTCTCCTCCCTCATTGCTTTCCATGAGCTAATATGCTTTCTTATCTACGTGTTTTCCCTTTAGAAACTGCCAAGCTTTGGACCTTACCTTGAACAGCGCAAGGAAATCATAGCAAAGATCAAGATCAGACAGAAAGAGCAAACTGGAGTTTATCTGCCACCACAGAGAAAAAAATTTATCCCTAAAAAGCCGATTCCTGCCATCAAGGTAAAAATTAAGCCAAATACATAGATGGGTCTGTGTCCCACACAAATATGGTTTGAAAGCTTTTTTGGTCCTCAAATGCAGCATTGATTTTACATTTTCTCAGTATTCATAAAGATTCTAAAATTCTATCCATGAAAATACCTTCAAATGATTGAATAACCTCTTATTTGTGTATCATACACTTATTTGGATATTTCACACTTCTTGTGTCACTGTCTAGTTTGTGTTTCATGGAAAATTTTGTGTATTAATATGTCAGGAGATACTAAGATAAATTCTTGGTGTTCCTATTGTCAACTACTAGTATTGTCATCATAGTTAACTCCAGGAGAACCTATATCAATCACACAAAACAAGTAAATTATGAGTATGTAAAAGTGACATTAATGTAATTTACATTTGGGGGAGAATCTATAGTTTAACCTCAGGAAAGCCTGTATATTTATATGGGATTCAAGAGTTTATTCTGGATAATCAGGGCTAGAGAGATGGCGCAGCAGTTAAGAGCACTGGCTATTCTTACAGAAGACCCAAGTTTGAATCCCAGCACCCACATGGCAACTAACAACGGTCCATAACTCCAGTTACAGAGTATCCAGCAGCCCCTTCTGTCCTCCACAGGCACTGAATAACACAGATACAGTTGCACACATGTAGTCATAACACTCATACACATAAAATAAAAATAAAGAAAAAATGTTAAAAAAGAGTTTATTCTGGATAAAACAAAAATCAACATTACATTAGATTATATGAAAGCCTTAATGTATGTTTATCCAGTGTTCAAAGACAATGTGCTGGAAATCTATACCAACATTGCACCTAAGAATTGAGGGGTTTGGACTTTTCTTACCCCCTCCCTTTTTTTTTTAAAGAAAAGGTTTGGCTCTGTTTCTAAAGTTGGCTTAGATCCTCCTGCCTCAGCCTGAGTGATGGGATTTCAGGCATATCCTCAGTACCTACCTGGTAATCACAACGAGGATACTGATCTGACCTGTCTACCAAGTCTGCATATTCGCAACCACAGTCAAGATACAAAACAACCCAGACTATTTTATAGGTGGCATACTCAGGAGACTGAGGCAGGAGGATCGTGAGTTCCTAGTGACCCTGGAATGGTTATCAAGACCTTGTCTCAAAAGAAGAGAAGGAAGGCAGGGGAGCAGGAGGCAGGAAGAGGAGGAAGAGGAAGGAGACAGAGAAAGAGGACAAAGAGGAGCAGAGGAGAAGGAAGAGGTGGTCATGGACGTGTCCTTATCAAATAGGAGGAAACTGAGTTCGAGGATATATCAAACCATCTTGGATAAGTGGTGCATTTTAGTCAGTTTTCTGTTGCGTATTCTGTAAAGTCGTGAGACATACAAAAGAAGGACACAAGTAGTAAACAAAGCCTGGCACACAATGTAGAATTGTGTTTGTGATATGAACTCTGTAGAAAAACTATAAGATGTAGGAAATGTTTCACAAACCCTAATTTATACCCTAGGAGCCAATGAAGGCATGGTACATCTTACATGTTGACTTGAATGAATTGAAAAATGCCTAAGAGATTAGGAAAGCATAGCTCTGGGGGTGCTGGTGAGGGCATTCCAGAGAGGATCCTATCAGGGAGGGCTGTGGCCTGATGAATGTATTAATCTTGATGAATTTGTGATGTGATGACAAGGGTGGAGAGCAGTAAAAGTAAGAAGTAGGCCTACTTGGAGAAATAGCTGCATCAGTAGGGCTTCTACCTCACCCTGGCCCTTCTCTCCTCCCTTTCTCTACTTCGTGTTTGCTATGTCTGAGCTGCTGTGCTCCACCATTACCCCCCTGCCGTGGGGTAGGCTGGCCTCTCTGAAACCATGAGTCAAAATCTTTACCTCTGTTAAGTTGAGCTTTCAATTTGTGGTCACAGCTACCCTAAAGTACTTAACATGTTGGTCAGATGAATTAAAGGAGCCCTATAAACTCCACAGGGATTAGTGAGGAGAGTATTGACTAAGCTATAACGTGGTCTGCATTTGGTGAATGGCTCTTATAGTGAAGGCCAGGATGAAATTCATAGTTTTATTAATTCTCCACCCAGAGTTTAACAATTCTCATTATATAAAACATAAGAGATAGAAAAAGTTGTAAAATAAGAGGACTCAACTGATAAAGTCTGTTGGTTCCACAGAGCTAAAGAAAAATGGAGCAAATCAGAATTTAGTTCTTTATATCTTTAGGTTTGGTGGAATTTTTAATGCAGGATAAAAATTTCAGATTTTTAAAAAATATTTTATTTATTATTTTTATTTTATGTGTATGTGTGTATTGCCTGCATGTAGGTAAGTGCACCCATGTTGTACAATGCCCACAGAGGACAGAAGAGGCTGTCGGATCCCCTGGAACTGGAGTTACAGACAGTTGTTAGCTGCCATGTGGATGCTGGGATTCAAACCCAGGTCTTCTGCAAGAACAACCAGTGTTCTTAATCACCGAGCCATCTCTCCAGCCCAAAATTTCAGATTTGAATATTTCAAAATTGATAAATTCAAGGGAACCGTGGACTTGTACTTGAAGAAATAGAGGAGAAAGAACTGACATTCAATTGCCTACTGTGCCAGTCATAAGACAAGAGCATCTTATGCATTTTCTATTGATGTTGTTAATTATCCTATGTGAGAATAAGGAATTCTGGGGATTCCAGTGAAACGAAGTGATCATAGAAAACAGAATCATGACTTGAAGAACATGCTAGCATAGGAGAAACCAATAATAGAAGACAACTTAAGAATAAGGTCCTGGTCTACGGGGTCAGGAATCACCAGATGTTTTACAAGGACATCTTGCATGGCTTCACTGTGCCCGTGATAGGCAGTCAGTGATATTCCAGCCTTTAGCTTGCAATGATGGTAAAGTCACTATGACTACATTGCTTCATACAATAATCATCGATTAGTCACTATAGAATAGTATTATTCCAGTCCCAGCACTCCAGGAGTGAGCCAACCCTAGTTCTCATGGAGCCTGCATCGTAGCAAGGAGAAACAGTGAATATGCACTATTCCAAATGGAAAACGATATAGCAAGATTAAGAGAACAGGACTTCCTAAAGAGGCTACTCAGGAACACTTGCTTGATGAATAGCACTTGAGCAAACATCCCCCAAAGTGAAGTAATGAATGAACCATGTGGATATCTAGGGGAAGACCTTCCCATTGAGAAACAAGAACCCTGCATAGGGACGTCCTTGGCAGGAAACCATTGAGGTTTCTTGAAAGGAAGAGTAATACGAGTTGACTTATTATTGCAAAGGTTCTTTCCACTTTCAGTGGTGTCAGATGACCTGAGGTTGACAACAGAGACCAGTCAAAGGCTGTTACAGAAACCCAGACTGGCAGCATGGAGAGTAACTGAGAGATGATGTCTTAGGCCTTAATTCAAGTGATCTAAATGAAAGGCTGTGTATGTGAGTATTGTACACAGCACAGTTGTATCCAAATGAAAGGGGCTACATGTATTATCACTTGTATGCTCTTAGTTCACTCTTTAGACCACCTGTCTGGATGAGATGGCCACATGGTTGTTCAGCCCTGTGGAAATCAACTGCTATGTTCCCATGAAGAGTCCGATACTGTCTGCTCATGCATTAGAGCTTGCTTCCTGGCCTTACCTTGCTTCTTGTCCTGTTGTTCATTTCTAGCCCACATTCAAGTGCTCCATTATTCCTTTTGTGTTTTCTGTGCTCCTTCAGTGCCTGATAGGCCATTTTTCTCTTTTTTGCCTTTTCCTGAAGGGCCTGAATTACCTGTTTTCATGCCTAATATTTTCTCTGTCCATCTACCTGCTTATTTCAGGCTGTTTCCTCCATCCTCTCTGCTGGCCTCTTTACAGATTCCTCTGCTCCACTGTTTAAGCTCCTTGATGCTGTTTGTTTACTCTCTCTGCTACCATAGTATGTGAGTCCCCATCTGCCTTGGAAGGATCCCCAGTACCCCTCAGAGTTACCTGAACCCCTCTTGTCGAGACAAGCTTTGCAGCCACACATCCCAGTTTCCAATCTACCTCAGCTCCCCTGATTGTAACATGAAGATATTAGTTTTGAAGACACCATGCTCAATAGAGCTGAGCTTTGGATCTTTTTTTCCCTTTCAATTGCCTCTAATATAACTGAACAGTCTCTTGGTCGACAAGTAGACGGTTTCAAACTCAATCAATCAACAAATTTTTGTTGAATAATTTCTACTTGACCATCAAGGCAGTAAGGACTGTGGTAAAGTCCAAAGAAATATTATATATGTTCCAAGACTCTGGATTTTACTGTATCCATAGAGATGGACCATTGCCATATATCTATTGCATACTCATTACAACCCAGAAACTGTGCTAGGGATCAGGAATCCAGCATGATCCCTATTTTCAGATGGAATTTTTTTTTTTTTTTGGTCTTTTTGAGACAGGGTCTCCCTGTAGCCCCAGCTGTCCTGGAACTCACTATGTAGACCAGGCTGGCCTCTGCCTCCTGAGTGCTGGGATTAAAGGCGTGTACCACCATGCCCAGCTAGATGGAATTTTTAAAAGATGGAAGTCTGTCTTTTTTTTTTTTTAAGTCTTTTTGAGACAGGGTCTCCCTGTAGCCCCAGCTGCCCCGGAGCTCACTATGTAGACCACCTGCCTCTGCCTCCTGAGTGCTGGGATTAAAGGCGTGTGCCACCATGCCCAACTAGATGGAATTTTTAAAAGATGGAAGTCTGTCTTTTTAGAGCTCATGGTATGGCAAGGAAGAAAGACACATGTTAATATTATTTACAGTTCAATCAAATACATGGAAAATGCTCTGAGAACACAGAGGAGTGAAAGGAATTAGTTCTGCCTCAGATAATTGTGGAAAGCTTCACAGAGATGGTGATATTTAAAACAGAGTCTAATAAATTAGTGTTAATTAAACAGAATTAATAATAAAAAGCTAATATTTATTGAGTTCTTAGGAGGTTTCAAGCACTGTAACATGTTTGTAAATTAGCTCACTTAAGTCT